AAGATTTACAGCTGATTTTGGCAGCTTTTGTTAACCTTGAAAGTGATGTATAGCTAATTCATATAATTTTCGTGGATTTGAATTCCTACTCATTTTCCCGTATGTGAACTGCTACTGATGGGATTGGTCGATTTTAAACCTCTTTATTTACCAAAGGAATAACTTTTTCATGTTTTCGATTGCAGTTTTGGCATCTTCATTGTCGTTTCCATAAGGCATTTCCCGGTGGGGCGTGAGTTCTGGGCCACCCTGTATATAAAACATGCACGAGTATAATAACTTACCCCGTAACCTTTCAGCTTCTATGTAATGGGCTTTCAACCACAACGCTTGCAGCTTCGCATGGTTATGTGGACTAAACGTGTGACTTTCCAATATCTTATACAATTCCTTAAAATTACCCCTATGAAATGCTACTATTGCCTTTGCTTTTAAAACTGATTCGTTATTATGTAATTTATCACATGATGGCAACGACCATAAAAATCGTCCTAATCGTTCGACGTTTCCTGCTTGCTGCAAGACCTGCAAGAGAAAATTTAACTATAGTTGAACAGTTTTATATGAATATTATTTGAAATAATTTTAGAACTTTGTGATTATATAGGATGGTCGTAAATTGCTTAAAAATATAAGAAAGTTTCCGAAATGTGACACCCTGTAAACTATATTTGTGTATGTGAATATGAAACCTTGTTTGTTACCTATACAAGGTCATATTTTTGTAACTTTACCCATTTACACGCGGAGAACCGCTTGAGGTATTTATTCAGGATGCTCAGCAAAAATATTTTTACTTTTCCACCATTTCCGTTTGTACAGGAAGCACCCATCAACTTCGTTATGTTAAATGAAACACACTGTATAAGTGTATTAAACTCACCATAACTATGATATTTTTGTTTTCGCAATATTTTATTGTAATGTAAAAATTTGGGGAAAAAATTATAAATTGTCCTTAGAGCAGGATTCAACAAATTCTGAGCACCGGCCCTTTTTGTGAATGGGTCTCAAATAAGCTCATTGTTAATCAACAATGCACACGACTGGCCTACAATACTAGATACATATCGTAAAAAACATATATTAAATAAAATAAACACAGAGAAAGGGAAGAAAAGAAATGAAACCTCTCTAATTTAGAATTCCAAGAAGCCCGGTCGAGAATTTAAAACAAGATAATAAGGCGGGCATACGTGATAATGACTCCAATAAACGGTCGCTGTTTAATGTTTACACGAAATACTACGGTGCATACTCATTGGTATTTGATTTATTGATTATAGTATTACGTTCAAAGACAAAACATTTTTCTCGACTGACGTACCAACCAACGCCAGGTGGTACATAAGTATGTATATGATGGGATGAGAGCTGGACCCCCAACGAAACGTTTCGTTACAGATTTCTTTGTAAATATTTCTCCTTTAAATTATCACTCAAATATTACCTATTTTATAATAGTATTAATTTGCATCAATATTCCCACACGGAAATCAAGTACGAATGTTAATAAAGTGAAGGAATTGAAGATTCTTTGATAGTGATTATGATAGTAATAGTAGATGAAATTAAAATTTTCGCAACACGTATACCGAAGGAATTGGTATCGATCTCTTTTACCTATTTCATTCGTATTTTTCCGGTTTTATTTTTTATTTATAACGTCCTAGAGTAAAGCTTGAAACGAACCATGTCGAAGGAATTACTGTTACTTAAAAAAACTATAATTTCTCATCAAACTATCAAAACTATCATTGATTTAGCGTTATTCTGGTCCCGTTTCGAATTTAAAAACGAATCGTAGAATATAGCTAGTGTTCGAGTTAAAATAAAATGAACAATTCCCCGAATCTATTTTTAACGTGAAACTCAAAACGATGCTGCTCGAATTGCTGCTTCAAAACAACATCCTCGCTCTCTAGAGATCGCCGGATATATCAATACCAGCAGGAAAATTGGTGTGGTATATAAAAATATTCCGCGTAAAATCGTTTTGAAGTTAAAGACGATTATATGTCGGAATGTGGTACATATTTACTTCTGTTGTTTTGGCAACTTGACCATAAATCGCATTAACTCGAGCTTTTCGAAAGCCACTGATAATTTCGAAGAAATACGAGATCAGCATTAACGAAAGTCGAGCCCACACACGACACGTGCACCTTACAGAAGTAATTTATCATTTATTTAATAGATTCTCGTTTCTGGTTCTGTTCAAAGGTATGGAGAAGTTGGAAGATTCGAGGCACCGCGGTGATTCTATCCTGTTGAACATTTTAACGTTTTTCGTGCATTTGTCTAACTGATTAGAGGGATACAATTTGCTTTGATTTTTAAATTTTCTATGATTTTTGTTTAACTGTTGTTGAATAAACTAACGCACTACTATTGAAAACTATTAATAAACCTTTGAAAATTATTAATAAAGGAAAAAATATTTATTTGAGGTACCTATTTAAAAATCGTTTCATCTAAATTAACTAATGAATATGGAAAAAACATATAAGTGATTAATGTTGTAAAAAAAACCTATTAAAAATGATTGAAAATTAGAAATGCCAAATGTTTCCATCAAAAAAGAACTCAAATAAATGCTCCAACTTTGAAATTATAAAAACAGAAAAACTTTTATAGGAAAGCAGAAGAAAACAGATTCTCATTAAAATGAATTCAACATAAAAAACATCTAAATTCATAAAAATATCCATTCACATTACACAAATTATAACTAAATATCCTGCATGACTTTTTCCTTTTATACATAACAACATTAAATTTTCCTTCTCGCCATCTTCTTCAATCATAAAAAGATTCCTTCATTAGGGCCACATTCGTTCAGCACCGAATTTATTAATAATAATAATAATATTATTAACAAGTATCTAATCTTCATTTGAGTCATACAATCACATACCTTCGATAAAATAGTTTTCTGTTCCTGTTAGTAATGAATCACTTTATAGGTGTAGATATTTCAATTGTATTACATAGCACCGTTAATTATCTCATTAAATCAGAAACTGTAATGTTTAAAATTATTGTGAGGAAGTCATTACAGATATCAAACAAGTCGCTCGGTAATTTATAACGTACTGCTTTTGAAGTGGCAGCATTTGCAGAAAACGATAGTGTATGTACTAAATGTATATTTTATAGTGCAGGAATTTAATAACCGTGTCTGTTGATGAGAAGTCGCTGCTCTGATCTTAAATTTCGACAGAAAATATGATTTTATCTGCTATATGGCATATACATAAAGGGGGGCCAATATAACTGACTGGTTATATATGGCTTAATCTATTATTATTTAATTGTGTAGAAAAATAATATCAGACAATTGTCTACTCCTATAGAAGATGGACAAATCCTTTTGAATACATAATTTTCCATCACTTTTTTGTAGGTTTAGGAATTCTTTAAAAAGATTTATGAATGATAAGGTTTATGCTAACAGACCAAATACTGTAGAGCTGCTGAAAAACAATATTGTAGAAGCGATTCAAAATATTCATTCCCCAACGGAAGGAAGTGTGAAGAAAGAATAACTAGAAAATTGTGTGGTAGAGTAGGTAAACTAATAGCAAAATTTAAGAAAAATTCAATTCATTATTTCTATTATTATGAATGGAGGAGTATAATTAGTTGTTTTGTTATACTAATTAGTTGCTCAATTCATTCAAAATTAAGCTTCAAAAAAACAAGTTTTCTCATAATAAACTCAATAACCCTCCTTTACTAAAAAAAATCAACATCAGTCGTTCTGCACCTTCAAGAAAATCGTTAAATGCGTCCACTTCAGCTAATAGACTCTCGTAGAGTCAATAGTTCGGAGTAATTGATTGTTATAGAAACGTAGTGGATCGATAGGAATTGAGTTAGGGGTTTGGAAACTTGAACGTTTTTGAGCTCACCTCGCAGACGCAAGCGACCTGCTCCTGAGTGAAGCCGAAGCTGGGGAGAGGGCTGTGTCTCCCCGTTGGAGGAGGGCTGTACGAAGGCGTGGTATTTGTCACGGAAACCGTATTTTGTCCACCCCCGTATCCAATTCCCGTTGACAGCATTTTCCTTCCTTCCCTACGCACTCTCCAGAGAAAATTCGCCAATTTACATGTTTAACGCCTTCGGAATGCGCTCATAGCCCCCCCGGCTGGTACACGGCAGGATCCTGCAAAAGAAATTTCTAACATTATTCAGTAATGAAATATTTTCCTATATAGGTACTCTTCTTTGTAGCATCAACACAAAATGCGACAAACATGCGCGAGAAGGCAATTTCGATTAAAGAAAATCGTTTGGAAACATCATGAAAAATTCTATTATAATGTGAACGAACAACAGATAGGAATATCGGGCTGAATTATATACGCGAGATAATTGATGACTGTAAATTTTGATACATAAAAATTAAAGTGTTTTGCGTGTACGATAAATACGAATTTTATAAATATAAATTAAATAAAATAATTACGATAAGTTTTCTTTATTGTAACGCATAACAGATAAATGTGAGTAAGTCGTGGGCTATGGGTATCGCAGAATCCAATAATAATAATTGATTGCATAATATCTCTGCAATAATCTGAAAATTATATTGTAGGTATATGTAGTGACAAAACAGAATTCGCTGATAGAAAAATAATGACAAAATAAATATATGCAATGTGTAGAAAAAATGTACCTATTTAGTCATTTGCAAATTCGCTTTATAATATTTTGTTGGATAAAAGTTTGGATAAAGTTATATCATAAATGCAAACATTATGCAAAGAATATTTTATTTCCTGTTTGAATTGAAAAATATTGATCACCAAAAACTTTTTTTATTTGAAATAATTATTCGCAAATTTTTATAAACTTTAGAAACCTTGTACTGCCAGTAGGAAACGGGTAGTAAATAACGCGGAAATTATAAGTGTTATTAAGGAATATTAAAAAAAAATATTTGAGGCATTATAAGGCAGTAAAATTGTAAATTGGAATTTAGCATAACAAGATAGCGTAGATTATGCAGCGATTAGGGCTCTAATCAAAGCAAAAAAAGCCATATTGTATTCTTAATAGCCTTTATTTAATTGGGAACCCGGGGCGAGCAAGTAAACCATGAACGCTATGTGTATTATATGTATAAAGTACCGATGATAAATTACCCGTATTAAAGAGCATAAAAGCAAGGTGTTCGATGCTATTTTAGAGCAACTCATTTTCATAATACGTATAATGAAACTTCATAAATTAAAAATAAAATGTCGATAAAATTCCTCGATTATGTACACTATGTATTTTTATTAAACAGTAAAAATGGTGTACTTTGTTTCGTATGGTAAAGCTTGAGTTGCACCGTCTTTGAGCGGTGCAAAAAATAATAGGACGGATTTTTCCATTCCACTTTGTGAAATACCTCGTTATTATAAGATGTTAATGTGTTAATAAAATCATTGACTAGAAGATTAATAACTTTTGCTTGCTCTCCATCAGTGTTCAGCACTGCCTATAATAATGCTCATTAAATTAAAAAGGACTGC